GGGGAAAATTACCTGTCTAAACAGGTTGGGGAAGTCATCTGCATTGTTAACTTTCCTAATTCCTTTTCCTCCTCCTCCTTCAGAAGCCTTGATCATGACAGGGTAGCCAACCTCCTCAGCAGCCTGATCAAGATAAGCAGAAAAACACGGGTAAGGACAAAAAGGCAGCAGAATCAAGCTGAAATTTATTTCCCTGTCGATTTGTGCCCAAGCTTCCATGTCTGACACTGTTTAGGAACCAAGCCATGAATGGGATAGAAACCCAAATATTCCAGTTTGAGAGAGTGCCTCAGTTGGAACACTCAGCAACGACTTTGTGACTACAGAGAACTCGAGCCTCTTGAAGTGATCACAAAACCTTATCAGTGCTTCATGCCGTTAAATCTGCAAACTCACAGAAAAGCTTTTGTGCAATACAGAAAATCATTACGCTGGGTAACATGGAAAAGTCATCTACCCCACCCCCTCTCTTCGCAAAGGAAAACTCCAAATCCTGTACTGAGCCACGAATATTTCTTATTCTAGAAATCTTCTTCAAAGAGAAACTTAACAAAAGAGCAAATCAAGTGTGAGGTCATGGGTCTTTATAAAAAAAGACCTTCTTCCTGCATTTAACTAAAACCAAAACAGAGCCCTTAATGAAATACAACTTTGGTCCCATATTTTGTCTCTTTCTCCCAATTCTCACATAGTTCTGCACGCTGGGCCCAAAGATAAGTGAAAGAATTTCCAAGACTCCGTTCTGTGAGGCTGACTACTGCCATTAAAAACAAACTAAACCTCCAGGGGTGCATGCAGCAAGGCCTCAAACACCTCCAGAACACCAGCCACCCACCCGCAGTCCGTCATCCGCATCCTTCACGTAGCCTTTTTCATACAGTTCCTGAGGCACATTCAAGATACGCTTCTGAAGATCATTTTCCTGCCAGTCCACTCGAAGACCTGAAACATAAGCACTAGCTTCTTACTCGTTCTGCTGCAAGGCTCAGCCAGAACTCACACGTCAGATCTTGGTGAAGCAAGCAGCAGCCCCAGTTCCACAAGGAACTAGTCTGGAAGCATTTACAAAAAAAAGAGAGAATGTAGAATGTAAAACCAGACTTTTCTGTTTTCTGGGGAGCAGATCTCTCCATCCAACAAATTATCTTCTCCTTCATTTACCTCGTGCAATTCTGAGAAACATGTTGTTATTTATAGTCTTTTGAGACTGCACAGAGCTTCCACAGAAGCAGAGTATGGGCTGTGCTCCAAAATGACGCGCTCAATGCTAGAAAAGTAGAGACTGCAGAAATACCAGATACTACAGCTGTACTGTTAGACTAACAGCACATTACACAGCATGCAAATTTTGCCCAACGTATCCGCATATATCATAGTCACTGTGTCTAAGCCTCGGGTAATACTAATTTGGAACCCTAAGCAGATGGAACATCTCTCAGAACACCTTTTTGTGCACAGACACTTCTTAAAGATTAGATGTGTTGAAGGAAAAAAAAAAAAAAAAAGCCTGGCATGATCTTGATAAACACAGGGCAATTTCCTTCTTACCACTGCCACTCCAAGGAAGAGTTGGAATGCCGGCAGTCTGAGCCACTATGGAAGAAGCAATTTTATCTCCTAAGGCCCACATTGCTTGGCTTGGAGGACCTGCAAAGAGCAAAAGCATTGCATGAGAGAGACACAAGAGATATCAGACATCAGGCCAGAAGTCCAATTCTGGTTCCACGTAAGAGGGATAAATAAACACTCTTAGCGGGGCTGCTGCATGCCACATCTGAGCTGGTACGACTCGACATTCCTGAACAGAACCAGAGCGCATTAGCTGCATCAGCCAGGGATCTAAAAGCAAACACACTACAGTACTTTTGACCAAGAAGGAAGAAAAGGCAACTGAACTGCAGCAACGCAACCACAGACACATCCCAACAGCTTGTTAAGCACCCATCCTGACGGCGAAGTCTTGGCACACTCAGCTTGCAAGTGCCGCTCTGTCCACGTGTCCTCGAGCTGCGCCTGCTCTCAAAGGGGTGGCAGGTACCAGTACCTGCTGTGAGGTGTGCATATCACGTGCTACTGGAACAATAATTCACTGCCCTGATTTTACTTGAAATGGGGTTTGCATGGGATTAGTGTATGATTGGCAAGAGATTTAAACTGGAATTAAAATACAGCTTTTAAATCCACTCCTCTCCAAAGTCCAAAGCAGTCCTGCGGTTATGGCTCAACACACCACAGATGCAAAGATCTGCTGGACGTCAGAACATGATACAACAACCATCCCCAGGCTACGTTCAGACCATGACTTTTATCACAAGTCCATCTTCAGTTTTAAACATGACACACGTCCAAAACCTTACCCAATATTCCGATCCACGCGGTTCAGATGAGGTTTACTGCACCGAACACCTCCAGCCCTCGGTTAACTACACTGCCAACTCGATCATAACCTTCACCTACTGTTCACTCCACTCCTTCCAGAAAACTGAACTACAAACACCCTCTTTAAAATGACAACAGAGACATTCAGCTTTTGAAACAACGTGCTTTAAGAGGAATCCTTCCGATTTTGTATCTCACAATATTCAAAGGTATGTTGGAGAACCTGCCACATCTGCCATACAAGATCTATGTCCCAGGGTATGTCCAAGCCTTATCTACTTTCAGTAGCCTCAATGATCGGAAACAGACTACGCTGCCAGCACAGACTGTAGCTCTGACTGCTGTACAGAACACATCGTCAGTCCTGCACTTGTAAGCCATCCCTCACGGCTCCCTTTTAGACCCAGGATTTTCTGCCTCACTAAACCGACCCATCTTAAAAGAAGCAGTAGACATTAGACCAGAAGTATAGATCCTCACCCATGAAAGCGATCCCATTTTTGTGGAGAAGTTCTGGTAGCTTAGGGTTCTCAGACGCATGGCCCCAGCCAGCCCATACAGCCTGCAGAAGAAAATAACGTAATTCACTCGTCGTTTTTGCAAAACGAGCAAGTGAGCAGCCACAGAAAACACACACATGCTTCAAGTCTGTCTTTCCCCCACAGAAAACAGCCTCATCACATCCCTAACCAGACCAGCCTCCTGAACGACAAGGTAAGCTTCATTTAAAGGGCTCGTGTCACGCATCTTGTAGACAAACCTCAGGCGACGGCTGCAGCGAGCTGCTGAAGAGGAGCTAAGTGCAGGGAAGTGAAAAGGTGAAGGGAACCTTCCATCTCCTGCAGATATTCATACCGGGAAATCCACTGCATCGAAACACGCATTGCCTTTTGGGGCTAGTATAGGGTTGTAATTCCAATTTCTCCAACCCATCTTTTTCCCCAGATACGACTCGCTATTTAAGGAGCGAAGATTCCTTAGCGCTACCGCCCGTTTTGGAAACTATCTTCGACCCTTCTCACCTGCACTGGTATCCGCTTCGCAATGTCAAGGATGAGCTCCACATTTGCATAGTTGTTGTTGTTCGGTCCTCCTGGGACTGGGACGTAGTGATCTGCCATTTTAATATACTCTGCAAACACAAAGGTGGTCTCGTTTAGACTGCAAATCTGATAACCCGTACTTGGTCTAAAGCTCCCCAAACCTACAGGACTGGAAGTACTCTCATCCCAGAACGGTACAGGACGCAGTGGGCATACACTCAGCTTCCTGCACCCTTGCGGGCACACCCGTCAGTGCAAGGAGAAGGCTGGGCACCTTCTCTAGCCCTTACAACTCACCTGCGTTGGCTTTCAGGTCCTCGGGAGTCACCATGACCACAAATCGGATCGCCCGCTCATTGCGAAACATCTCATAGGACCAGCGCCGGATGGACCGCATGCATTTCACGGCCGCAATGCCGTTATTCGCTATCAGCACCTGAATGTATCAGGAGCAGAACGAAACAGAGGCTAAAGAGCACAAAACACTAAACGATAACGAAAACAGGTTTTTCTCTGCAGACTCTTGGTCCAGTTCTGGGGCTGTGCAGCTTCCTTAGCCAGCATTCAAATTCAGCGCCAACATTTAACGGCCTATCAGTCAACTCACAAATGAGCTCCGGCTCAATCATAAAGATCTTAATGTATGATGCTTTGTTTGGATTAAGGAGCAGAAGAACACATGAGAATAGGCATAACGAGTGGCTAAAACTTTCAATACCTGAAACGGAGAGACCTCATCCATTAAATGATCATTTTTATGATATCATATTAAAAATAATCATTTTAAACTACATTTCTAGTGTTTTTTCCAGTCTCCTTTTATTGTATCTGTCTATAAATCCTTCTGTATCAGCAGAAGTGCCCAAGCTCACTCAAATTTTTCTTCGTGTCACACTAAGCTGAAACAATGGGACATTTATTTAACACACATAAAATAAAATGGAAGCACAGCGACTACAGGCAGAAGTACAACTTTCAAGTTCAGGAATATTCATATTTTGATGCCTGCAATGTACAGCCTTATATAGAGAGAAGTCAGAGCTCAAGCGAAGGGAACAAAATGCAGTATGTTAAAGTCAAAAAGGTCAGTAACATACCTTTTCAATAACTTTATTCCCTCCAAAACGAGTAACAAATTCTGCTGGAGAAGCCACAGTGAAATCCCGCTGCACGTCAACTTTCTTCCTGTCCCGGCCTTGCTTTACAAGGTGTAAACCAGACATACTGGGCCTAAGGAGATTTGTGGGAGACAGGAAAGAGCAACTTGGCAGTGCAGATGTACAAACAGAAGAGGGTACGTGACTAATTTTGTAAAGTTCCCCTTGATCACATTCCCCAAGTAGGCAGAATCACTCCTTGTCTCCAGGCCACCACGGCCTGGTCCTCAGCTTTTACAGGGATGACTCTGGACTCTGGTTTTTAACTACCTTTCCATTATCTCTCTGCAAAAGCCAGGTTATCTGGAGAAATTCCAGTTATGCTAATATATAAATAGGTTAAAAAAAAAACAAACAAAAAACCACATTCATTGTATTTTGCTGCCCAACACAGAAGAACAACAACGCTCCACACACTGCCTTCAATTCATCCAGGAAAGCTGGAAAATGACAACAATGTTTTCTGGCTTTGGTAAAACAAGCTACCAGGATCAGACTCAGTAAGGAAATCCTATTGGGGGACCACACAAATAAATCTCCAGGTGCAAATAAGAGACTCTGTGACTGGCTACTCAAAACTATTGGCCAAAAATTTTCCATCATCCACTCTTTAAGATCTTCCCCACAAGCTCTGAGAGCTAGAGGACAAATGAATCAGGTTACTTCTACTACAAACAGTGAAAGCCAGTTCTGTGTGTGACAAGATCAACTCTCTGCTCTGCCACCGTCCTTCTGCGTGGGAATGGGCCAGTCGCCTCCCTCTCTTATGCTTCAGCTTCCACAGAAATAACACGTGAATAAATCAGCCTTTGCTTTTGCAAGCACTACAGGCTTTGATTTCATAAAATTTACAAAGCTGAAATGGTGAGAGGAAACCCAACAGAAAAGCAAAGACCTGCTCTTCACACCGTGCATCCACCATCGTGCAGCGTGGCTTGGGAAATAACAAGATACTTTTTATTTTAAAGGCCCTGAAGCTTTATCTCTTGGGTCACCCCAGTTCACCCCTGTTTCCTGCTCTATTTAGTGTGCTTTTCTTAACGTGTCCCTTTCCCACGAACACCCTGAAGTCCTTTCCCCTGCCACCACACAGGGTCACAGAACCTTTCTGCAGGAAGGAGAGATGAATATTGGGAAGGTGTTTTAAAAACTACTCAATGCTTTGGAAAGACCCAACGGCAACCAAGTGCCACTGGAGCAGCCGTGTAACTGGCAGCATCTGTCCCCAGCAGCCACACGGGCCCAGCCAGCTGCCCTCAGCCCTGGGAAGCCCTTCAGGAACCTCTGGCCTAATCAGCTGCTGAGGCACAGCCACCATTGAGCAACCCCACTGGGAAATGGGATGGGATGAGGCAGAAACCGACTGGAATGGCTGGGGGTGGACACGAAGGGAAAGCCAACCAAGGACAAGCCAATCCATGTGCAGCATCTAGAGGTCCCCTTTTACAAACACAGGTAGCTGGGGAGCTGTACCTGTGAAGTTCACTGCCCCATGGGAGGTTTGGAGCATCCTGGCTTGAATGAGCTGCTGTTAGAGGCGACTGGTGACAGCCTGAGGGGAAACACGCAGATTCCTCCTCAAATTCCCTCAGAAATACGTTATGGCCCGTGAAGATTTACCCATCTGGAATGCTGACCCTCCTTAACTCTTCAGCAGGTTCAGTAACTCCACAGACCAGTATTTTGACCAGAAAACTTGATGATGAAAGAAGCCCTGAACAAACTGTAACTAGTATCTGGTTTAAACCCAGGTTCGCTCTCACCCACCTTTCCTATGAACAATCACGGCGCTAACACAGACTATGGAACAAAAGGATCTTGACCCATCCCATCAGCACAACCCATTCAAAACAGTATACGCCAAATCCTGGTATATCCAAGAACTGTACCAGCAGGAAAGGCGATCCCTCATGCAAGGCACGATCACTCATGCAAGGCACGATCACTGCCCAGATCTGACCATAAACACATTTATCTACCACACATAGGATGGAGTGAATCCTTCTCTTCCTCTCTGCCTTCATGCACACCCTCTACCTTGGCTGTGACATCCTCCTGTGGTTCAACCCTGACTTTGTGAGCGTTTCCAGAACGGCAACAAAGCCTACTTACAGCCCTCGAAATTCAGACCATGTTCTGCGTTAACACATTAATCTTTCTCGCCCACACGCGAGATATTCCCCTGACAAACGGCCGTGCTGGTGGAGAACTTCAAGTTAGAGTCTCACAAATGCTGAGCTTAACTGGGAAGTGAAAACCTGTTCCAAGCACAGTGAAAGAGATGTTGAAGTGATCCATGAAGTCAAGAGTGGGAGAAGTAAAGGTAACAGTAAAAACAGGATCAAGGGGGTGATTTTAAAGTGTGCTAAAAAAAAGCCAGATGCCTATCCCCCAGTGACATATGGGGACATGTAAATGGCTGTACTAGGCCAGACCAAAATACATCCAGTCTAGCAATCTGTCTCAAAGAGGAGCTGCTAGCTGATATCCAGAGAAGGGCATAAGAACGAGTTAAGCGTGCAGAGGTTCCTCCCCTGTGCACCTCCCCTTCTTCCAGAGGCAGACAGTGGCACCAAACTTAAAACTTGAACCTATGAGCAAGAGTTCACAAACAGCTCTGTGATAATCTCAGCCCAGGAATCCAAGGACAGGAGCCAACAGGCAAGAAAAAGGGGAAAGTTAAGGCTGAATTTCTACTGAATGCGTGTACTTAAGAGGGTCAGAATCTACGGCACGGCAAGGAAGGAGCCCAGCCCAACAAGTGAGACCGGTTTATTCATTGTAGGTTCATTGAGAGCAGTCCCAACCAAAATAGAAAAAAAGATAAAAATCTTGGTGTCAGAATCTGTGAACAAGGATGAAAATGAACTATCCTGCCAAGTTTAAACTACTACACACATAAAGATACTGCTACAGATAAAGTGTCAACAAAACCAGAGGTTCATCATCCAGAATAAGGCACAAACACTTGTTTATAAGCAAGTACAGTTCGGTTTAATTTATCACAGTAAGCACACCGAGAACATTCAGTTTATTTACTAATAACCACAGGCTGCACATTATCCTCAAAACAGGAGACTTTTTTTTTTTTTTGCAGGGTAAGGTGAGGTAGAAGTTGGGCAGCAATGAAGAAAGAACACCGAGCTCTAAACAAAACAGAATAAATGCTGAGTTAGTAACAGTCATCCCTATTCATCACCAGGTCACAACTGCAGTGTTTTGTTACGCAGGAACTTCCAAAACGCACATCTATCCTGCAGAGTTTATAGAGGATAGAAGTTGTGCAGAATCTCAAACTTTTTTAACACCAATTCCCCAGCTAAGATGTGTTCTAGCATCTTTCTCTCAGACTGCATGCGCAGATACCTCACAGTAACCAGCAAGGTTTCGGAGGATAAAATTAACATGCAAAAATATCAGGGTGCATTTCCAGTACAGAGTGCCCAACTGCCTCCGTCCAAGACGGCTGCTGCTACGAGGAGACAATCACATCTGTAATCCTTACCTTTGCAGCATGTGATATCTCATTTCCTGACTCTGCTCTGCAGAATCCTCCATGCTGTGTCAGTGAAGGAATTAACAGATTTCAGGCTTGCTTAGGACTCGTCTAGCGTAGCTGCTGCTATTTTATTCAATGCTGCAGCTCAAAACCCAGCAGGAGAAAGCTGCAAAGAGCCTCTGGCACTCACGCGGTTCTCCTTGAAGCAGCGGCACTTCTCAGATTGCTTCAATCTTGTAACCTTTGTCCCTTGCTTTCCACCACCCCTCTTCTCTCGCCGTCACTCCTCCTGTGACGCAGCATGCACAGAGAGGGGAGCAGCTTCCCTCTCCTGCATTCAGAGGAAAGCAGCTGATCAGGAAAGAGAGAAAATGATCTCCAGGTTACGTAATGGGGCTTAGCACCCAGCGCCGCTGCTGCAGCCTGCGCAGGGCACGGCGGCTCCCCGCAGCGGTGCTCAGCCCCCCACCGCGGGGGTCGCACGTGAGGCAGCGGAGGCTGCACAGCTTCCCCACGCGCTGCGCCAGCAGCCAGAGGAACCCCTGCACCGCTGGCTGCACGACCGCACCGCGAGCAGCTCCTCGGCAGCTAGCTGCGCCCCAGCCAAGCAGCAACGGCGGGGGCCAGTTTGCCCCAAGAATTCGGTCAACGTGTAGGATTTAACATCTGATTTTCCGGAGGGTTGGGGAGGTGACAAGGAAAGCATTTCCAGGGCTGCAGAGAAGAAAGTCAGAGGCACGGTTTGTACCGGCACACAGAGCAGTGGTGATCCAGACACGAGAGGACAGATCACACTGGACACCAGCTCGGAAGCTGGGAGACCCTGGACCAGTCACTTAAGTTTTCTGTGCCTCTGTTTCCCCACCGATAACACGGCAATGAGATCACTCTGAGTGCTGTAAGAATAAATATCCTCACAAGCAAAGCGCTCCAGTACTGCAGGGTCCAGTAACGTCACTGGAGAGAGGAAAGTGTTTACTCAGTGCCGAGCACATGCAAAAACGTAAGTTGCAAATCTGGGGGCAGGGAAAGGATAAGCAAGGGCAACGACCGCAGCAATACAGCGATGATCAAACCTGGGCTGGAACCAGACATAGCAACTGGATTACGTTTTTATATCTGACGACGTTTGGGTCTGTCCTGGTGTAGGGCTCTATCCAGGTAGCACGGCTTCTGTGTGATGCACACCCATTCCAAGAGTCTGAGCCAAAGCCACGCAACCACCCAGGAGGGGATCACTCGAAGAAAAGGGACAAGTAACCAGAGGACAAGTGTCACATTAACATGATGACGGTAGCACCTTTGAGCCCTGAAGGGCAAGGTGAGGGACCTAAGAATAGCACAGGCGATAGGAGCGAAGACCAACAGCAAGTGCCATGTGTCTGATAAAGCGCAGGCAAACAATTCCGTGCGGATCCAGTTTCTTCAAGCATTGTCAGCAGGCGGGTAAAGGGACAGCGACACACTGTGGCAGTGAAGAAGACAGGCACAGCGGAAACAAATCTCTTCACCAGACAGCAGAGAGAGGCAAGAGATACCAGGGAAAGACCAGTTTAAACAAACAAAAACCCCCAACATCATGTATCTACCCAATGACCAAATGCCCCTCTCACCTCTCAGCCTTGTTCCTCTTTGAAGAGCTACTCAAACTACCCAACTGTGAAGCGCACCAGAAATTTCCCGTTTAATCCGTTTTAAACCAGGAGTATGTAAGAATAAGCAACTTTTCTTGAAATATTTTCCAGCACTGGCTCCATCCTGAGAGGCCGCCCGCAGCACCACTCACCCAGGTGCGGTACAGACCCCGCTCCCAGAGTGGACTCGGGTCCCTGCCGCCTGCCCCCAGCACGGGGCATGGAAGTCTGCCCTCCCAGGTTCTCCAGGTTCCTGCTTCCCTTCACCTCCGCAGGGAGCCTACCACGAACCCACCATTTCACCAGTTCCAAACACACCATCACCACAAGGGCAGAGAATCATGAACCTACAGACTCTGCTTGATAAAATCTGTGTCACTTTCTCTTCTGGCCATCACTATGTAAGACCAGCAAAACCCAACAGACATTCAGTGACTACTCATGTATTTCATGAGAAAATAGTATATTCCATCATTTTCAAAATAAAATACTTGCACAATCTGTGGTTCCATTAGATTTCTTCAGGTTTTGATCGTGATTCATACTGTGCCTAGAATTTATACGCAGTATCACTGAATTTTTTTTTTTCAGGTTTTGTGAAAACCGTTTCCCAAACATTTGCCTGTGCTCCAAAAAAACCCCGCGCACAGCCCCCAAGCCAAACAGTTTCCGACCATTGTCGCCACAAGGAAACAAACCCTACATGTACACACAGCTCGATGTTAGAGGAGCAGCTTCAGCGCTGGTTAAAAATACACATCATGCCTTCTACCAGCTGAATTCACTGCTACGAAATGAACAGACGGGATTTGCTGCAACACCCCTACAAAAATACGCCACACAAGGCTGCACCGTTCTGATACAATACTCGCCATCACACACGCACGCTTCGACAAAGCTCGTTTCCTTAAACACACTGCTCGGAACTCAAATGGCAAACACCATCCGAAAACCAGCCCCTTCCTTAGACCCCAGGCCTGCTGCCAGACAAAAGGACAGCCTGCGCAGCGCTCTGCTGTCCAGCCTCCGAGAGGGAAAAGAAAAAAAAAAGCCCTCGCTCCAGGCACATACCTGACGCACATCGCAGCCAGGAGCCTGCATTGATCCCAGCACTGCAACATGCCAAGCGCTATCGGTGACGTCGCAGTCGATTCCACAGGCAGCGATGCATTAGGCGGCTGGTTGGAAAGGCAGCCCTGAGGAGACTGCAGCACATACACACACGCACACTCGCACCCCCCCAGAAAGGATTTTTCCTCCCCCACCACCTACGGATTAGGCCTGTAAAGGCTGTGGAGAGAGGGCAGCTCTCACCATCAGTTTGGGCTTTGTGTTTTGTAAATAGGCAGGCACTGGTGTGAACAGGCATCTGATCGGGGTGCTGAGACTCGAGCCAGCTGAAGCATCCGTCAGATCTGCTCCAGTTTTAGATCTGCCCTTGCAACCTACTTCACAGAAAGGCAGATTTAAGAGCAAGCGTAGATGTCGCCCAGCAAGCAAGGCAGAATGGTGCAGCTGGAGTAAACGGCTCACTAGGTCTCGGGTAACGGGCACTGGGAGGCAGCAATCTGAATTTATTCAGAGACAGTTTTTGCCCATGATTTTAAAGAGACAGAACAGCCAGCTTGAATGCAGACACTGCTGGAAATCAGTGCTTCAAGCTACAAATCAAAAAAAATCCCAACAAACGAAACACGACTCAGCTCGGACAAAAGATTGAGCCTAAGGATTTCAGGAAACTAAATAAAGGATGCAGCACAAAAACCAAAAGCTCTCCCTACTCCCTGGCTAAATCACTTCACTTTCACACTAACGCAGATTTTGAACAGCCATCAAGGCAGGTCTTTAGCCTGAAACAGTGTCTTTGCTTCCAAAACTACAGAGCCCAAACTGGCAGAAGCTGCTAGGATTCCTCTCAAATAAACAAGTACCAACAGTGGCAACGGATGCAGATTTCAAGTGCCAAGACACTTGTTTGTCAGATATTTTCTTAAACCACGTATCTGGCTTTTTATCTGCCATGCCGTATGCATTTTAAACTGGACCATACCCACAGGAAGCAACACCAAATCACTGCTGTTCCTTGCAAGTTCCAAAGCAACATCACTGCTGTTGTTATAGGAGGGAACTTGATAATTTAAAGCTCACTGAGCTCCTCTGGATCACAAACTCTTACGTACTATGATCAAAACCACTTCGCTCCTGAGGCTCTTCGACACACCTCATTCCCTCTGACTGCCCCTTCCAAGGTATTCTGCACCCAGCTTTGAGTCTTGTGTTCAATGAGCCTCCAGCACGCCCCAAGCCCCTTCCTTCTCCTGCAAATTCACCTTTCAGAACCCATTTCTTCATCAGGTCCTTCTCACTTAGGTCCCTGGCACCAGATTTTCACCCCCCCAAAAAACAGCCAATAAATCCAAATGTCAATCCAAATAAGTAGCCAAATTGAAATATCTGTACTCCAGTTCGTAAAACCACAAAACACTGAAAGATCTTTACTTTTACATCCTCATGAAGAACAAAATTCCACATGTTCCTGGAGCAGCAGCCTAACACCCTCCAGGTCAAGCCCAGCCACCAACATAAAAGTTAACAACAATGGAAAAAGACAGCTCTGCAACTGAGAGCAGAACTGAAGTCTTTGGCAAGGAGCCTCCCCACTGCTCTTTGACAGAGTTCAAGTGTTAAGCAGATCTATCTGCATGAAGGAGAGAACGTACCTTTTTTAACACCCAGAATTTTTGAGGTTTTGCATAAAATTTATCACTAAGAGGTTTTTGCCTAGTGTAAGAGCACCCCGTACAGAAAGCACACACAGCCCATTTCAGCTACTAGTCTTACAGACTAGGATATGGAGTCAAGAGATCCAAGCTATTCCCGAGCCTGGAGATTCTTTGCTGTCCCTACCTAAAACAGGTGAAAGACACTCCCTCTTTTCCCAGATTTGTTGCAAGCCTACGTCCATCAACAGCTGCTCCTGCAGCAACTGAAGGCGCAAGCACCAGGCTGTGAGGGTATTCTGCAAAAGCACTTGTCTCTGAACGCCTCTGCTGCATGTCCCAACCTGGGGGAAAAGCGAGGGCATTCAGCAAAATACAAGAGGGGGCCCTAAAGTATTCTGATAGGGACAAAGTATACTTCATTATTTTTCAACTAGAAATATCAGATACCTAACCAAGGAGGAGACGCTGTCAGTGCTGTCGTATCTCAGCCAACCATCTTTGCAAAACTTCCCTACAAATTACTGAATTTAGAGGTGCTGTTTCCCATGTTAACTGAGGCCAAAGGGAGTATAATATCTGCTACACCAAAATAAGAACGCTACTTTTGCGAGCTATGCAGATGAAAAATCCTTTAAGGTGTATCTGTTCACCAAGCAGAGAGAAGAAAAAAGTCATAATTCACAGATGACCAGTATAACCCGTTCAGCTAGGGACCAGCTA